GCCGGAGACTCGTCGGAATGTTCAACATCGCCGGAGACTCGTCGGAATGTTCAACATCGCCGGAGACTCGTCGGAATGTTCAACATCGCCGGAGACTCGTCGGAATGTTCAACATCGCCGGAGACTCGTCGGAATGTTCAACATCGCCGGAGACTCGTCGGAATGTTCAACATCGCCGGAGACTCGTCGGAATGTTCAACATCGCCGGAGACTCGTCGGAATGTTCAACATCGCCGGAGACTCGTCGGAATGTTCAACATCGCCGGAGACTCGTCGGAATGTTCAACATCGCCGGAGACTCGTCGGAATGTTCAACATCGCCGGAGACTCGTCGGAATGTTCAACATCGCCGGAGACTCGTCGGAATGTTCAACATCGCCGGAGACTCGTCGGAATGTTCAACATCGCCGGAGACTCGTCGGAATGTTCAACATCGCCGGAGACTCGTCGGAATGTTCAACATCGCCGGAGACTCGTCGGAATGTTCAACATCGCCGGAGACTCGTCGGAATGTTCAACATCGCCGGAGACTCGTCGGAATGTTCAACATCGCCGGAGACTCGTCGGAATGTTCAACATCGCCGGAGACTCGTCGGAATGTTCAACATCGCCGGAGACTCGTCGGAATGTTCAACATCGCCGGAGACTCGTCGGAATGTTCAACATCGCCGGAGACTCGTCGGAATGTTCAACATCGCCGGAGACTCGTCGGAATGTTCAACATCGCCGGAGACTCGTCGGAATGTTCAACATCGCCGGAGACTCGTCGGAATGTTCAACATCGCCGGAGACTCGTCGGAATGTTCAACATCGCCGGAGACTCGTCGGAATGTTCAACATCGCCGGAGACTCGTCGGAATGTTCAACATCGCCGGAGACTCGTCGGAATGCAAACGATCGCCGGAGACTCGTCGGAATGTTTAAAACATGTTATGAAACTGTAAAATTTTACAGTTCTAAAAAATGTTATAAAACTGCAAAATTTTACAGTTTTAAACCATGATTCATTCCAGCACCAAAAAAAAAATTTGAAACTGCAAAATTTTACAGTTTTCACCGCCTGTAACTAAAACTCGAACATTACTTGTTCAGAATTCGAAAATTTTCTCATTACAAATCTGTGTGATATCTGCACAAATCTGAGTCATTACAGATCTGTTTCAATGATATTATAGATCTATTTCATCAACAACAAAAACCATAGATCAACAACTATCCCAAAAAAAATCTGTAAATAGAGAGAGAAAGAGAGAGAAATTGACAAAGATATATACACAAATCTGTTCAATCTAAGCACATGTCTGAGGATGAGAGTCTTCTTGTTCTTGTTCTTCATCGTCTTCTACTCAGATCTGGTGTAGATCTGAGTAGATCTACATCAGATCTAAGTAGATCCACTCATCTTCTTCGTCGGAAATATATATCTTCGCCGTCGGTGAGAGTGAAATCACGAGTTGATTTCGATGGTTGGCGGTTATCAGTGAACCCCGATCAATGGAGAAAGACATGAACACTTGCACCATCGTCTATGATGAAGATGATGAGAGAAAAATGTAGAAAAAAAGAGAAAGAAGAAAACGTAAAAATGGAGGAAAAAACCAGAGAGATGAAGGAAAGGACTTTTGGGTGTACCCAAAAAGTTATGGGATTAAATGGTATCCACATGTTCCACATGGGACCTGTGGGTAATTTCCCCAAAAAAAAAATATGTATCTGTCTGCTTAATTAACGGATGCGAACTGAGCAGGCCGTGCAAGTTGATAGATGAATATGGATTGATTGGAAAGTTTAGAACTTACTATTTTAAATTTTTTTTAAACTACTTAGAGTAATTTTTTACTATTTTGGACCTTATTTGAGTCCAAACTTTTTTGTTCTTCATTTTTTCAATTTTCATATTTCATAAATAATTAATATTATTACTAAATAAAAAGTCTTGTTTTTAACATACAAAGTATGAAAGCATAACATCATTTTTTTAGGATGGATTGGCAGACTGGGTTGGATCAAATGACATCCCATCCGCCATACATCCGAACATAAGCCAATATAAAAAATATTAGATTAGATTGAACGATTTTAACAGGTCCAACTCGGTCTGTAAGAACCACTAGCAAAGAGATTTTTTTTTGTTTTTACAAAATGAGAACTTCATTGAAAGATTATAAAAAAACATACATAAGACTACTCATGTTCAATTTACATACGCAGACAGAGAATTTACACATCGAAAGTTAGTTGTGGAGATAGGGCCCCAAGGTCCCTACCATAAAACACACACTTCAAAGGGTACAGATATATATACCATATACTTTTGTGTTGTGCTCCTTTGAACTACCTACTTATATCTTGAGTAACAAGGAAGATTTGTTCTACAGTTTCGATTTTAGAGGTTTGTTTGAATTTGAATTTTTTATTATATTACTGATTCACATCTTTTTTGGGCTTTTCTAATTGCCTAATTTCTCTTCCATCCGTTCAATTTCTATATTACTTTGATTTATAACTCTAGATTTCTTAGAGAAACCTTCACCAGATGCTAAGTCAGAGAATGACTTAAATATTCTTTCCATAATAGGTAATTGTAGTTGTCAATAGTTAGTTCTACTTAAGCTTTGTTGATCTGCAACGACTTCCTGCCTAATTAATTTAAATGGCTTACAGCCGTCACTACTAAAAAAAACACTTTTTGCGACCGTCACATGCCGCCGCAAATAATAAAAATACAGTCGCAAAAGACTTTTTGCGACGGCCTATGCGACCGCACATGAGGGACGCAAATGTGGGGGTGGCAAATACTTTTTGCGACGGCAAAATAACGGTCGCAAATAATTTGCGACCGCCCAAACTACTTTTTGCGACAGCCATTTTGCCGTCGCAAAAAAATTTAAAAAATTAAAAGCACTTTTAGCGACCATAGTTTCACTGTTGCAAATAATTATTTATTAAAAAAAATCATATATGGATTTGCTACAACAAAAAAATCAATTACAACCACCAAACAATTTTTTGAAAATGAAAATAACAAAATTAACAAATTAATTAAATTTATAATATCCATTAACCATCCTTAAGGCCATGTTTGTTTGGGCGGACTGGATTAGCATTCCCATGACTAATAGTCCTAGGATTACGAATCCGTTGGATTATGTATCCTATCTTAACTAATAGTCAAGTTTAAAATAATTAGTCCGTACTTCAATTGTTTAACCAAACATCGGATTAATAATTTTATTGGACTATTAGTCCAATCCCAAGCTAATTCAAGTCTTCAAAAAAAAAAAAAAGAGCAACATAATATTTGGCTCCCAACATCAACCGCTCGATCATATCAACTATTCCCTCAACAAAATCTGCAAAAACATAAATCAAACTTGACTTGAAAATTTAATGCACTCCAATGTGTTAGTTTATCTTGAAATAATCAAAATAAAACTATGCCAGTGACCTCTCTCTATGGCAGATCAGTGATTTGCAACAAGAGTTTCAATTACCTTGAAAGCAACTACAGGCTTAACTATGGGATCACTTAATCATGGCGTTCGAAATTATATAACATCTACCCATATGCATAATCATGTGCCTATATTCCAAATAGCAGAAAAATCAAGAGAAAACTCAGATAACCTTCCATATTGTGAATACATATGGTCCTAAATTTCAAGGACTAGAAATATAAAAGAAAAACTAAGACAACTGTCAATCAATCAATTTTTTTTTTTTTTTCCGCATAGTTTGAGATCATGAAGCATTTGTTAAGTAACATTCTGAAAAGCACTGTAACACAGGCAAATAAATAGGAAAACGGAAAACAGGTAGAAAGTTTGAATTACAAACATACCTGCAGGGTCTGATGAATCAACAATAATTGCATCATACTTTCCTTTAGGTACATTCCGTAAAAATTCAACAGCTGCCACAAAAATGAAGAGAAGATCAACAAGAAAGTCTAGCTATATAATCAGCTATACAATTAGGGGCGTTAATTACGTAAAATTATTAATAACCTAGATTAATGGATCCATATAAAATGGATAATAAGATTTCAGATGCACATATTCACTAAACTGCATGTAAAAAATAATTAGAACATCTTTTCCACATACCATCAGCAATATGCAGTAGCACACGAGGATCCTCAAAGCCAAACAGTGGGGAATATGGGCACCTATAGACCCTGTTCCTCGACAACAATCCCTAAGTACATATGCCTATTAAAGTTCAACTAGAATAAAAGAAAAGAAAAAAAGAAGCTGCTATGGACTCAAAAGGTTCCTCACACTTAATTGCATTATAATTTCAATAATCTAAGTATAGCTATATGTCATTTGAAATTAAATTTGAATAAAAATAGAAACAGTAAACTCATCATGAACTATGGAACCCATGATTTATGAAAATTACAGTTTTGGTTTTTGGGGGATTGAATTGAACAAAGGGGAAGATAAGTTATCATCTCCTGATAGACACATTCATCTTTCTCAGTCAACTGAACAATGACATCAAGCACAAGAACTTTCCCATATGTTGAGGACTGTAAATAAAAGAACCAGTATCAACAGGAAATTCATAAATAAGACAATAAATGGCAGAAAAACAGAAAGCAAGTAATCACTACAAAGACAATCTACTGCATGGGAAAATAATATAATCCCAAAACTAAACAATCCTAGAATGCTAATCCAAACTAATCCAATTCGTCCAAAAAAAAAAAACCTCACTGTCCAAATGCATTGACCTCAGAAATTACCTCATAAATTCAATGTGCAGCACATGTTGCATACTGCATGGGAAACAAATCCAGATAAAGACCTAACAAAATTATAAAAATAAAATAAAACACATGTATTAATTTCATGAAAATGTTGCACTACAATTTCATGACCCGTCCCAACTTTGTTATCCATGTTCTATATAAAGGACTTGGCCATAAGCAGGTTATAGAAAGATATACAGTATGTTGAATACAAAACATATAAACTAATGCTCGTCCAAAAAATGCATAAAACATAAACTCAGGCATCCCTAACTCATCAAATTTGGGGTTTGCAGCAAACTGTAAGCCAGCTATGCTTCACACACAAAACTAATATGGAAATAAAAATAAAATTGAATATATTCAATTATAAGCTTCAGAAGACAAGCTTGCCTTAGCAATACTTGTTAAAAGATGGACTGAAAAAGGTAATACAAATGTCTAAAATGCAAAAGGTAAACCTGCTTACTGTTCTGTGCTACAAAACATATGGATCTCATCCAAAAAGCAACAAAGGAGAAAAGAAACTTTTCCAGTTTATATGATCACTCATTTCATCTCCTAACACAACATTTTTATAGTTTCTACTTTCTATAAGTTTAAGATGACGAAAATCACTGGTGAAGTCAAGTTGCTCACAATGTATGAGCATAGAAATCAACTAGAAACATTGAATTTGCAGATAGCACATGCACACACACAACAATGATGGGTTGCTAATTTCTGACCTAGAATTGACCATATAATACCTGTAAAGATACTATCTTAGGGAAAACTAGGCCCACATTTGGCAATTTCAGGTAGTCTAATTTGTCAAGAAGAATATATTATTGTACTTGGGATGTATGACCATATAATACCTGGATGTATGACCATATAATACCTGGATTTGTCTAATTTGTCAAGAATTGACCATATAATACCTGTAAAGATACTATCCATGAAAGTAAGCAGCAACATGATCAAGGAAATGTATGAAGAAGCAGAGAAGGTTTGGGTTCCTGAAATGGTTAAACTCATGAAAGAAACAAAGGAACCTTTCATAAATGTCATATATGATTGTGATCCTTTAGAACAAATAGTTTGGGACAATGTTGTATTAGTTGGAGATGCTGCTCGTCCAATAACCCCGCACAGCTCAAGGAGCACAAACATGACAATATTAGACGTAGCAGTTTTAGGCAAGTGCCTTGAGAAGAGGGAGCGCTCGGAGAATTTCAGTCCATACGGCTTCCAGTTGTTTCGAAGCAAGTGCTGCATTCTCGGTATGTAGGTCGCATCAAACAAGGTTTAGTTCTTTCTGATCGCAACCCATTTGATCCAATGATAGCAAAGCCAGAGGAATGCCAAATACTTCTGCAGAGAAGCGTGCCCTTCCTTGGCGATGCTCCTTCAATATTACTTTAGACAATATGCTCCATTTGCTTGAGAAGCATTGCCCTCGAACTTCTTATCATCTACAGCTTTCATTGTGTTGTAAGCAATAATCAACATGAGTTGTATGTATTCATGTATTATAATTGTACTTGTATAGATTCATGTATAATGATAGACTGGAAAGCACAGTGCATAAAAAGATTTTTAAGTCAAATTACAATCTCAAGGGGTATCGATTGAAGTCATTCAAAGTTATCAAGTTCAAGAAAGCACAGTGCATAACATTGTGCCCTCATCGTGGTCTGCAGTTGAATTCATCCCATTTCAAAGCTTTTAGCTAGACCGTCAAAACCTTGATTGGTCAGACAGGTTCATGTGTATGGGCCTCACTCTAGCCCAACACGACCACCAACTGTAATGTGCGTATAGGTGGTGGGGGTAAAAGTTAGGAAGCCTTACAAGTGTTTAGGCACTTAATAACTAAGCTTAACCCTTTATTGACACAAGGGGAAGCAAGTATGAATGTTTGAGCCATGAACCAGACCAAGAAATGGCTTGATTATTGCCTCTGAGGTTAATAAAGACCATTTCAATTGCCGATTAATGAGAATGTTTAAACGTTACAGTAAACAAAGTCATTCACTTCCAGTTTCATTGGTGTATCTAGTCCAAAAATCTTAAACATCACTTCTAAGTCAAGAAAATACACAGGTTTTCTTGCTATTTTTGTTGCTAAATTTTCTAATCGGTTTGACTGTTTCATGCTATGCTGATTCTTAATACTTGCTCCTGCACCCTGGCTCCTTCAACCAGTGCTAGCATAATTTGTAAGATTTGCAACTTGAAACAGAGGTCTACATCAAAAGAAAGAATATCCTAAAATTTCTGTCTCAACTCCACTCGCATCACCAACAAACTAGATCTAAATGTCGGGTTTGTCATCAAATTTTAGTTTGATTTGATTTCAGAACCAAAGTCAAAATTGTTGAAAGTTCACATTTTTTTATAAATCAAACACAGCATATTTGACACACCGAATCAAAATTAAGCCCGATTTTTCCTTCAATCCAAGGGTTAATTATAAACTAGCAATTCTGATTGAATTAACTAATCCAAGGGTTAATTATAAACTCTAATTCCGATTTTTCCTTCAATCCAAGGGTTAATTATTTCATCAACTAAAACTATACTGTCTACAAATAATACGATATCCTCTTGAATGTTCCTAATGGATTCATTTATAACTAACGCAAAAAGAGATAAGGACTTAGTATTGATTTTTTGATGTCAACAACTTTACTGCATATTTTTTTTCTTTAAAAGGACTTTGAAGCCATTATCACTTATCAATTGACTTCATAAAAAGTTAAATATTCATTTAACAACACAAAACATGGTAATCAAACAGCATACTCATACAATTTGATCTGGCTTATAAGAGATCCCATTCTCTTCTGCTAATCAAATCACACTGAAAACAGAATCCTAAAATTGACATCCTTATTGGACATTCAAAACACAAAATAAATAAATAAATAAATAAGAGCCTAATTAGGTATCCAAAACACAAAGCAAAGCACTAATTCAACATAAACAATAAACAATTCATCACAACCAACAACACACAAACCTAATTTATACTAAATTGAAGAAAAGAGACATCAATGGAATGGCCAAAAACATCAGTCAACATACCCTCAGCTATTATTCCATCTTCTATTGATCTATAACACACTCAAAAATCCCCAAATTTGTCAAATTAAAATCAACAGTGACTCAATGCTTAACACAAAAATACACACGCACATATATATATATATACACATTTCGAGAGTAGAGATTTGAAGCAAAATTGCAAACCAAAGAAATATGAGATTGTCGGAGTCGAAGAGTTCAAGATCTTGAGGAAGTTGAGGACGTCTACTTCGATTCTTGCTCGGACCTCAACAGAATAAATTCAATTTCAAACATTGATATTCACAACACATACATAATATATAGAGGTACATATACATGTGTAGTAGAGGTGCTAATTTGAGAAGATCAAAGGAGAGAGAGCACGAGATTGAGAGAAAGAGAGAAAGCGAGATTGAGGGGGAGAGAGAGAGAGAGAGAGAGAGATTCATACCAGTCGTATTACTGTGAGACCGATAGAGAGAGAGTGCGAGAGAAAGAGACCAATCGGTGTCTGTGGAGGGGCTAGGGCAAGTATAAAGAAAAGGGGAAAATAAATAGAAGAAAATAAAGGGGTAAATTGATTATTTGCGACGGCTAATCAGATGGTCGCAAATTATATAGTAGCAAAAGGTCAGTTTTCTAGTAGTGCGTCTACGATTTAGGTGTTACACCAGCTAACTACTATAATTAGTAGGAATATAAAGAGAGACCTAACTTAAGGATTGACTTTGATATTAAGGACTCTCAGGTTATATAATCTTAGTGACAGAAGCTAATTGAAAATTAAGATCACGTTTGGCAACATAATTTTTTAATTTAAAAGTTAAAATGTCACTAAAAAAATCAAAAAAACTAACAATTTATATAAAAAAGTTAAAGATTCCATTTTCTCTTTACTTTTTGCACATCTTTTCGTAAAAAATTAAAAAATCATTCCAAACATACTAATTTTTTTTACATCATATTTTAATAAAAAAGTCAAAAATTTACTATAAAAATCTGTTCCCAAACGAAGCCAAACTTTTGTAACAATTTACGTTGTCAATTTATATTAATTTATTTTTATTTTATATTTGATTTAATATTAACAAATTTTTTTTTTGGGTAATAATATTAACAATTCTTTGACTTACCTACCCAGCCATAGAATTGGCACATCGAAAGTTAGTTAGGGAGAGACCGCGTCAAGGTCCCTCCCATAAACACACACTTCAAATGTAGGGATATATATGACTCTCTTTGGTTTGGTTTATTTTTAATTTATTTTAATTTTTATTTTAATTTAAGTTATTTTGATGTATTTAGTTCAGTTTAACAATACAATTTATAATTTTTTGTAAGTCAAAAATTAACTTATTCTGTGAGTGGGAAAGGAGAAGCTTAATTTATAAGTCAAAAATCATCTTATGTTCACAGTTATAAGCTATAAGCTGTTAAACTATAAGGTATAATCACTTTCTCACAGCTCTACCAAACGGGACCTATGTATACTTTTGTCGTGTCCTTCCTGGACGGAGTATATCTCATTTTTTTTATTTTGTATTAAAAAGAAAATTTCTTTATTCTATTAAAAATTATTTTATTATATTTAAATATAATATATATATATAATTTATATATCATATTATATATATATATATAACAATTTTTTTTTTCTTCAAATCCTCCAATAATAAAATCTTGATTCTATGAAAATGTTTGAGAGCCACAATTTTTATGGCTATAATGACTCAAAACTGTCAAAACGGCGTCGTTTTGGTATATTTTACACCTACAACGACGTCGTTTTGATA